TAAAGCTATCACCTTGAGGACTAAGGTGCACTTGCCCCAAGCCAAGGTATTTTCAATCACTTCTATGCATACAAAAGTGGGACAATGAATAAGAAAGACCAAAGAAGATTTGATGCCTTTTGATTGTGGTGTTTGTGAAGTATATTGAATACACCAGGAACTTCAGAAGAAAGAACAAAGAAATATGTCTTAGAAGAAGTACAGACAGAAAGCTTCTTAGAGGCAAGGATGATGAACTTTATCTCATGTACTTTGGACATGTTATTAGGGGGGACCAGACCCTGAAGCCCGGATGCCAGACTTCATCTCTTATAATTTGGACATATTGTCCCTGGAGAAGGATATCATGCTTGGTAAAACGGATGGGGCCTTGTCAACATATAGAAGGTGAAAGATGCAAAAGGAAGTTGAATGAGTAGAGGGGCCGGGAACAACTTCTATTCAACAACTGAATGCCTGTCGTGTACCAAGGATTCTACTAGGCATTATACAAAAGGGGCTTCAAAAAGTTTGAGGAAAGATTCCATCATCTTTGAATTCCATTTTTTCACAAGTTTTTGAAGCTCTTTGGTACTTCTACTTTAGAGCATTTTCTCCTTTTGGCCATGAAATACATTGCATTTGAAATTATTCTGCTGTCTTATTGGGCCAAATCATATTAAATCAAATTAGTCTTCTTAATCTGCTCATGTTCCATTGGTAGCCCAGCATGGATAGTCCAGCATGCTGCCATCAGGTTCCAAGGAAAAAGTCATTCTGAAGAGCCTGAATGTGCCATTTCCAAATTTTGGTCTGTGCAGACCCCTGATAATGTTCCTCTCCATCGTGAACTTCCTGTAGGCATCTTTCACTTCATAAATTCAGTCACACATGCACTGGAGGAGGACAGAAGGAGCCAAGCAGTATGTACTCAGAGAATAGACAGACACCAGACTGTACTTTAAACACTAACAACTACACCTGTATCAAGAAAACAATGCAACTTTATAGCTTGGGAATTGAAATTTGGTTGGAGAACGCCAAATAATAATAATTACTATTTTTTAAACTTTTATTGTTAATTTCTGATGCGTGCTGTTGTTGTTAGCTGCCTTTGAGTTGACTCTGACTAATGGTGACCTTATTAACAACAGCATGAGATATTGTCCAGTCTTGCGTCATCTTCCTGGTAACTGATATGTTCAACATCTTCCTCCAGCAGGTGATCCATCCTGTTAATATGTCAAAGCAAGCAGATCAGACAATGTTCTATTGTGACCCATCATATTTCCATTGGCTAACTGTTAGAAGTGGACCTCCAAGTTTTTTTTCCTAAGCTGTTCACCATGAGTGACCCTGTTGACCTTGAAATACTGGTGGTATACCTTTCAGTATTAGAGCATCAAGCAAACCACTACAGTCTAACAAATTGACAGATAATTCTGATGATTAAGAATAAATAAAACCAAAACCATGAAAGTAAAAAAAACCCAATTCATTCATCTTCCACGTAGAATAATAGCCACTGTTGCTTTTTTGGCATTTTTCCTTCTAGTCTTTATATATATATTAGATTAAACACATGAGATTTTTAACTTCCAATTGTTTGTGTGCTATTTAAAATGCAAAAAAAAATTCAAACTATATGTGTACACAGTTCTCTTCCCTCCTTCTAAGATGGTGCTGTATGTTCAGCTTTTTAACCATTTGTTAACTTCACTTAATAATATTTCAAAGGACCCCTGGTGGAGCAACATTTAAGTGCTTAGCTAACCAACCATTTGCAGCCATCTGGTAGTTTTATGAATCACCTGTAACCTGCTTCCACAAAGATTGCAACCAACAAAACCCTATGGGACAGTTCTACCCTATCACATGACTCAGAATTGACTACAGGGCATACAACAACAATGAAATTTCATAAGCATTTTCTTGTCTTAGTAAATACTCTTCAAAAATATGTAATGCCTACATATTACCCCATCATATGGATGTAGTGAGCTTTCTTTTACGAATCGCTTCTTGTGAATATACTTCACCCTGGCAACATGCTTCACCCTGATGAATGCTCTGACCAGCATCCTTGAGCATTATACCCTATTCTTGTGCATGTTATGGGGACCATGAAGTACCTCTTATCTTAGACAGAATAATTCTTCACAGACTTGAAGACAGTTGTCAGGTTTATCTCGTCTAATCTTCCCAATCTCTTCAGTCAAAATAGACTTGATGGCAGTGGGCTTTTCTTCTTTTAATCATCAAATCAGCATTCAGGGAAACCAGGCATTTTGAGGAACAATAAATGCAACTTGGAATATTCAGTGGAGGAAAACTAAAGGAAAGCAGTCAGATGCGACAGTGCCTCCAGCTATCTGAGAGTGCAAATTAGCTTGCAGTTAATTGTTGTAGCGGATTGAAGAAGGACCAATGACTTTATGCCAACATGTCTCAAAGTGTGTTCCCTGAACCCAAATTCCACTAAATGTCCATGGTTCCATGGTCAAGTAAGTTGGGCGAGTGCTCACCTCCACTGTCGCCCTGAGGGTTCACAGCATATCTTAACATATAAAAGGCTCTAAAAAGTCCTGAAGGAAAGATACTAGTCTAACTTTTTTTTTATTTTTAGTTTTTATTGTGAATTATGTGATAGTTTACATGGGAGAACATTAACTTTACATTCATCCTATCATATATTGTTTCATTGCCATGGTTACAATTCCCTCCAGGCATCATCAACCAACCAAAGGGTATACCCCGCAAGTCCCTCTCCCTCTCTGGGTCTAGAGACCCCAGCCGCTCCATCTCTCCACATCATCACTTTTGCCTCCATCTCTGGGGTCACTGTCTCTCTAGGTAGAGTCCCACACTCTGCTCTTCTCCCTTGATGGTCCCAGGGACCTCTGCTCCTGGACTGCAAAGTCAACTACTCCCCTCCTTTTGCTACAAAATGTCTACCTTTACATTTCCAACCCTCACAGTCAGTCCTGATAGCAATTATTCACTATTGTACCACAAGAGGCCTATCCCCATCTCCTTTCATCAGCCCCGCCCAGACAGATTGGATACTGCTTAGTGGAGATTCTACTTTCATCCACACCCTCTGGTTCTAGGCTCCTTCTTGAAAGCTTGTAAGCCAGTCACTTCTTGCCTTTGTAGGCCCTGCCCCCCATTTTGGGTAGCAAATGTCCAAGTTGCCCATCCCTGTCTACCCTGTGTGTTGAGCATATGGGAATGATCCTCGCTGTAGAGATTTGTTCCCTCTTTTGAGCTACTGCATCCATAGGTGCAGGTCAAGTTCATCAAATTGTATCAGATTACTCTTTTTTCCCCCCCCCCTCTTCTTTCTTCTTCTAGTAGAGTTTTGATCATCCAGTCATTGAAGCCAGGTCAAGTGGGTATTATCTGCAAGTGTGGGTGTTCTTGTGCTTATGCCCTCTCTTCTTATCAGCTGGACACTTCACTCTCCACTCTAGTCCTCTGTGGCTATGTCACTGACTCTGGGCCCAGGAGTCCCCAGCTCTTGCCATACTGCCCTAATCTAACTTTTATATAGCTCAGAGTTTTCCACATTTGTTTCCCCCATACTTATTTTGACATAAAAACATATTTTGTTATAAATGCTATTATTATTATTCATAAACAGTATTTTTAATGAGACTAGGAAGGGCTGATGTATTGTGTTAGTAGGAGAACTTGATCGAGGCTAGAGGAACTCTTTGAAGGAAACTCTCTGTCAATTTAGCATCTGATTATATACCTTCAGCTTTAGTTTTCTTCTCTGTCCAGTGGCTCCGTGAGTTGTTTTCAAACACTGAAATGAAACACTGTGTTTTAAAATGAAACTCCAGTGTCAAATGCATCCTTAAAGACCTTCTCTGGTTGAGCTGGGCAAAGGACTTGGCCCCTGTTTATTCTGTCTTCCCTAGGGAGTCTCTGGGTAGTGGTAGAATTTCTGCCTTCCATGCGAGAGATTTATGTTCCATCTGACCAACACACTTCATGTATAGCCACTACCAGTTTATTAAGTGGAGGCTTGTTCCATTGTTATGATGCTAACCAGGTTTCAGTGGAGATTCCAGATTGAGATGTACTAGGAAGAAAGGACTGGTTATCTATTTCTGAAAATCAGGCAATGAAAACTCTACTGATGATCTACAAGGGTTCATAGAGATGGTACAGAACCAAGCAATGTTCATTATGTGGTGTATGTAGGGGATCCTCGTGAGTTAAGAATCATCATGAATCAGGTCAACTCTACAGCAGCTAACAACAACCACAACAGGCATTTTCTAACTGAGCCCCAGGGCACACCTGGAAGGGCTCCTTTGAGTTGAAAAACTGTTCCAAGTAGGACTCTCTAGTATCCCTCCTGAAGTTAAGTCTTTGCATTTTCTTTCAGGAGGATGTTCCCTGTCCTAAAAATCAGTGTCACAGGGCTGGACCCCAATGCCATGTATTCCCTGCTGCTGGACTTTGTCCCAACGGATGGCCACCGCTGGAAGTATGTCAATGGGGAGTGGGTGCCTGCAGGGAAGCCGGAGATCTCCAACCACAGCTGCGTCTACATCCACCCAGACTCCCCCAACTTTGGGGCCCACTGGATGAAAGCTCCCATCTCCTTCAGCAAAGTCAAACTGACCAACAAGCTCAATGGAGGCGGGCAGGTATAACCTGGTCACCTGGCCACCCGCCCTAGCCATCCCACAACACCAATCAAGACATATCAAGGGTGCATTTAGGCAATTAGAGGGGTCCTCACCAACCTCTTCTCCCACAGAAGCCAATTATTCCCTGGAGTCCAAATGTAAACAGGAATAAACAGCTCTTAATTGGTGCTTTCAGTTTTTAATGGACTTCCTGATGTTAAGAGACAGTAAGAGAGAGCACTGTAGTTTACTTAATTATCACGGCCCTTTTCATAGTTTGTCTTGTGTGTGGCGCTTTTTACCAAGGCCCGAGTGGGAGATGTGTGTGGGTACCAGGGTTCTGTAATTCCCTCCCCCCACCTTTTTTTTTTTTGGTGTAAGTGGTATGCTGGCAATAGGCAAATACCTTAATAAAAAGCTGCTCCTAAATGAAATAATTACAACTTCCACTTGGGCATTATGATAATTATCAATAGAATATTGAATCAGCTTTGGTGTTTCAGAAAAAACAAAAAAGATCCAAGCAAACCTTAAATAAGGAAGGTTTTGTTTAAGGTCTCCAATTAGAGCAAACAAGATTTGGGGAGGCTTTTTCCTCCTTTGTTTTTGCTCATAGGATTGTGAATGCTAGTGTGTGGTATGAGGTTGTTGGTTACTTTATAAAATGAAGAGTGTGTTCTGGGGGTTAAAGACTTGACTGGGAGGAAAAGGTCTTGATTCTCTTCCCTGCATCACACACCTGGTTTTGAGTTTGTGCCCCTTCTTTGTGCTTTCTTTGTTTAGTCATGAGAACATAGTTCATGTTTTAGCACGTGGAACTAATGCCACCCAGTTTTTTATTTTAAACTTTATTATGAATTGAGTGAAGGTTTACAGAGCAGAGCATCAACCCATATACTTAATTTCCTTTCAACAACTGCAATCCCCTCAACATAACATCACTTATTCTACTTCCTCTCTGTGATTCTTTTTTCCATTCCATGGAGTCTTTTTGACATTCAGAAGATTCTGAGTTTTTTCTTAATTAAAACAGGAAATGGAAAAAGTAAACTGTTATTGCCACCTAGATTTTACCACAAGAAACTTTCAATAAGTCTTTCACTTGAATCATATAAAATAGATTATATGTAACCATCAGATATGAAATGTCATTGCTCTTTAGGTAGTCCTTTGTGAAATTCACCTATGCCAGTATTTCCAGATACTTTTTACTTGCCGTTGAGCTGATTCTGGCTCTTGGTGACCTCATGTGTGTCAGAGTAGACCTGTGCTCTATAGGATTTCCAGTGGCTGATTTTTCGGAAGTAAACCACCAGATCTTTCTTCAGAGTAGTCTCTGGGTGGGTTCAAAATGGCAGTCTTTTAGTGAGCAGTCAAGTGTGTTAGCTGTTGTACTACTAGGGGACTTAGATTCTTCATATGAGGAAAAACAATACGTGTTAATGGATAAAATCCAAATCACTGTTCTGCAAATGGGGGAGGGGGAGGGTGGAGAGAAGGAAGGCAAGATTTGGGCAGAAAATGGAATGCTCTTTGAAACAGCTCTTCTCTGACAACCCACCATCACCCCTAAAATTAAACTCCCTGGGAGCATTGGAACAAAAAAAAGGTTTTCCATTCATTTTTCAGAGAGGTGAAGTGGCAGAACTCAGGTAACCCAGGACTTCTGCATGTGTGCCTGTTACCTCAGTGGACACTGAGCTTGTAACTATTACCTATAATAATTTGCCTTTCTTCTCTTTCCTTCTCCCATCGTAACAGATAATGCTGAATTCTCTGCATAAATATGAGCCCCAAGTACACATAGTACGTGTTGGAGGTTCCCACCGAATGGTGATGAACTGCTCTTTCCCTGAAACCCAGTTCATAGCTGTGACAGCCTATCAGAATGAGGAGGTAAGTGTGTGTGTGTAAATGTCATCTGGGAGAGTGTGGTGGTGGAGAAGACAGGTGCGTGTTACTTGTCATGACAAAGCTCAGACAGAAGGTTTTCCAGAATTCAGATCCAATTAAACAACAAGTGCAGTTAAACATCAGAATAGCTGCTCTCCACTACCTCTTGCCTGCTAAGGTTTTCTTTCTTAGTACCCAGAAAGAAACAGTTGTATGATGCTTTGAAACCAAAAGACACTCCAGAGTCTTTGTCTTTATCCCAAATGATCCTTGGCCAGCCTAGAGCTGTGGGTGTTCTGGGATGGGTACAACAGGATAGAGCTGAAAAGCAATATTCTTACCTGCCTTAGAAGCAAGTCTGTGGGAATTGATTCAACTGCACACCTTCTTTGAATTTTTAGAATGTGTTCTATCCTGTTTGCTAAATTGTAATCACTGAGCACTGTTTGTTCTTTTCTTGCCACTCTTGCTGAGCAGCTAGAATCTGACCTCATTGTGATCTGGTTGAGAGCAGGATATTTGGGCCATTTTGAGGCATTCCCACACCTGCTGGTCATCAGAAACACCTGGGGAGGTTTGAGGGGTTTTATTTTCTTTAAGTTTTTTATTGTGAATTGATTGATAGTTTACATGGGAAAACATTGGTTTCATACTCATCATTTCATTGCAATGATTACAGTCTCCTCCATGCATCATCATTCAACATTTGTTTATATTCTCTCTGTTTTTTTTGTTTTGTTTTGTTTTTGGTAGGGAGCTGAGTTATTTTTGCTTATGCTTTAAAAAAAATATTTTAAGGTATAAATGTTAATTAAATCAGTCAGTAGTTCAGAAATCCATAAAGTCAATATGAAAAATAAAAGGTAAAAGTTTATTCTTACCTTCTAAATGTTAATCTCCAGAGATACTACAACAATAATCTCAAATGTAATTTCCACACATGTATGTGAATATAACCTTATATAAATTGCTTCATGTTATATAAATTTCTTTTTTTTATTCAATTTAGCAATGTATTATAGATATCTTTCTGTGTAGTAACATTCAGACCTAACTTACATTCTTTAATGCCTGAAGAGTATCCAGTAGAAAGGATAGATTGTATTTCAGGTGATCAGATCCCCACTAAGGGACACGTAGGTTATTTGCAGTTGTTTTATTTTTCTATTATAGATAATGCTGCTTCAGTGAATATTTAGAAGTGCAATTGTCCTGTCAAAAGAGTGTAAGTTTACATTTTTGACAGACATAAGCCTTCTTCCAAAGGGCATATCTATTTAAAACTCCCACACTACTATCAGTACTGGTTATCATCAACGTTTTTCATCTTGACAATCTAATGGGTTAAAAAATGGTACCTTGTGAATGTTTTCATCGACATTCCTTTATTTGAAAGCTTTAAAGAGAAGACTCTGGGTTCTTGCCAGCTGAGTTACAATCTCCAGGGCTGATGACCAGAATCTGTATTTTAAAAATATCTTCCCAGAGGATTCTGATGACCATCCAGGTTTGGGAACAACTGCCTTAGCACCCACGGGTGAAATTGAATTGCAGATTTAACATTCCATATGTGCAGAGAAAATGCTATTTATAAGTAAGTTGAACTTTGCCAACAGGCCAGTGGGAACAGGGATAACTAAATATCTCATCATTTAAATAGTTCCCCAGGTGGTAATGTTCTTCCAGGATAAAAATACTTAGTTTCTCATAGAACTGCTCTCTTTTCTTGATTGTTTCTCTACCTGAAGTCTAGGTGTCTGAGATGGTTGTGTGGCTTTTGCACCTCCTGGAGATTTGGGGAGGATTTGGGGACCATGTTCTAGGGGAACGTCCATCTGTGTGTAATTTGCTCTTCTAGACTGTGGCCCACAGAACTTGTCATTTGCCTGTGGGCTTGGTAAGCACTCAGTTTTTCCTGACTGCCCCTGGTGGACAGTTTCCTCTGAACACTCCCCACATCCTCTGCCAGCTATGGTGACCCTCCAGAAAATGCTACTTCGGGCTCTTGAACTCTGGAAGATCTACCCCAGAGCCTCTCTCTGCCAACAGTGTTTCCCTGACAGATTGATGCCGAAGCACACTTGGCCCTGCTAACCTGGTGTGGTGCTTTAGATAATTACTGAACTGCTAACTGTAAGGTCAGTGGTTCAAACCCGCCAATTGCTCCTTGGAAACCCTATATAGGGTTGCAATGAATTGGAAACAACTTGAAAGTACTTGACAATAACAACAACCTCACTCCCTTGATGCACCTCAGCTTCTCTAGGATTAATTAAGCCAAGAGAAAGGCTAAGTCATGCGTATGAGGGGCTTCAAAAAGTTTGTGGAGAAATAGATCTAAAAGAGAATTGAAATTTTCCACAAAAATTTTTTGAAACCTCATATCTGACTCCTTACCTCTCCTCTCAATTTTTCCTGCTTGCTTCCTGCAATTATCTGGGGTCATAAAGAATCATGCTTTTATTTTACTTTTCTTCCTTTCATCAGAGGGAAGCAAGCCTCAGGCCCATGACATTTTCAGCATTAATTTATTTGATCAATATTTACTGAGTGTTAGTACATGCTGGATATTGTTCTAGGTACAGAGGATATTGCAATAGACAAAACAGACATTTGCTCTGCTCTTACATCCTAGCTGGAGAGACATGACAAATATACCTCTGTCTCTAGCTCTAAGGATCCCAGGTGGCACAATGGTTAAGTGGCTACTCAGTGAAAAGTTGCTGGTTTGAACCCATCAGCCGCTCCTCGGGAGAAAGGTGTAGCAGTCTGTTTCTATAAAGATTGCAGCTGAGGAAACCCTATGGGACAGTTCCATTCTGTTCTGTATGGTTTTGAGTTCAAACTGACTTGATGTCACACAATGACAACATTTCTATCTCTGTCCCCATTTCTATCTCTATCCATCCATCTATCCATCCACCTACCAACCCACCCACTCACCCACCCACCCATCTATCAATCTGTCTATCTATTTGTCTCTCAGATAGAGAGTACTCTGAGGAACAATGAAGCAGGCTAAGGGGGATAAGGAGGGCAGTGGTGGTTTGGTGGTGGAATTCTCACCTTCCAGGCGGGAGACCAGGGTTTGATCCCAACCAATGCACCTGGTTGTGGTAGTTTGCACCTTCCTGTGATGCAGAAGAGCACAGATTTCAGACAAAGATGGACTAGGAAGAAAAGTCTGGCAATCTACTTCTGAAAATCTATAGATCACAGTGATCTTATCTATAATTGATCATGCCCACGGCACAGGACTGGGTAGCATTTTGTTCCATTGTGCATGGGGTCCCCATGAGTTGGGGGCTAAATTGATGGAAGTGTAAAACAACAACTAAGGGGAATAAAAGTGATAGTGGATGGGGGTGATAGTTTCATTTTTACATTAACATTGCCCAATGGGTAAGTGATTAGTTAAGAATCAGTCTTTGAATTACCTTAGGGAATTGATGCTAAACTGTCCTTCACTAAGAGTGACAAATAAGATCACACATGTACGACTCCCCACTGTACTCCCATTGGCTAGAAAAATGACTGACATGTATAGGGCTCAGTGATTGTTGAAAAACAAATGAATGGATAAAAGAATCAATGCTAGTCTTAGCACATTGGGGCTTTGCTCATTTTGAGTGCTTTTTTCTTTGTTTACTGTACACTGCATTTGTCACCATATGCCAGAGATGGTGCAAGAGTTGTATAGGAAACATGAAAAAGCAGAATTTTTAAAACTGAGGGGAATGATTCTTACTTTTCATGAGTTCACTGGTGAAGACAGAGGGCTTTCTCTGTCCAAGTGCATTCCACTGTCACTAACCCTTCTTGTCTTTGTAAACTCAAGATAACAGCTCTCAAAATCAAGTACAACCCATTTGCCAAAGCCTTCTTGGATGCCAAGGAAAGGTGAGTCGAGAAATGTCAATAAAATCTTGTGAATTGATTTGTTCCAATTTGAACTTTGTGATCATTTTGAAAGGAACTTGACTTTGCATTACCATAGATAGCCAGTTAAAGGACAACTTTCAAAGCACCACTTTCCACTCATGTCCACATAAAAGCATAATTATCTGTTCTTAGTAGGAGTCAGGAGAACGTCTAAATGGTAATGCTTTCTAAGTCCTGTTTGACTGTAGAATCTTGAAAATAATACAATTACATTTCTTTTTCTTTTTCTTCAAAATGAGAGTTTAGATTTCTAATCATTCATTCTGTCTTTCCCTTAGTTACTAAGGAGTGGCATTTTTTGTTTGTTTCTTTCTTTTTGAGTTCCTGGGTGGTACAAATGGTTAACCATTACCTTGTACGTTAACCAAAAGACTGAGAGTTTGTGTTCATTCAGAGGTACCTCAGAAGAAATGTCTGGCATTTAGTTTTTAAAAAATCAGTCACTGAAAACCCTATGAAGCAGAGTTCTACTCTGACACTCATGGGGTCTCAATGAACCAAAAATTATTTGATGGCAACTGGTACTGGTTTTAATAAGTTTTCTTTGGTTTTGTTTAAACTACCTTGGATCTACAGGTGATGAGTAGTGGTGGGAGGTTTCCATCTCTCAGATCAGAGGAGGTTAGAAATTAGAAACTTCTGGAGGGGGGGCAGTGAGCCGGTGTGAATGATGATTCTGCCACCATGACTTTAGATCAGTTACTCTCCATCTCTGTATCTATACTTTACAAAAGAATCTTGGTGCTTATTATTGGATTTTATTTGACAAATTCTTGAGCATATATATGAATACATTGAAGTAGTCAGATTTTATTGCCCGTGTTTCCAATCTTTTCAATATCTCCCGTAAGTATCTGTCTAGTCTTTGCTTTTCACCTTAAAGGTTTTGATAAGACTCTAGATGGATGGACATATGCTTATAATAATGTCACAAGGATCTGTCCTGTTCAATATTTGGATAAACTTTATGATGAGACAGAAGATGTAATTATAACTTTTACAGATAACAGAAAGCCTAAAGGAAAAGCTAATATGCTAAACAACTCAAAAAAAAATCTAAATTCAAAATTATACTACTGGAGCATAACAAAAAGATTTTGAGTACAAGGTCCTGACTTGAGTTCTAGCTTTGCCAGATCCTGGTATTTGATTTTTTCATAGGTCAGTATGCAAAATAAGTATATTAATGTTTCAATCACCAAATTATTGGTGGATCTAGTATACCACCAATAATTTTTACCTATGAAGATAAATAAAAAATATTGCTACTAGGGTTTCAGTTTTTACATGCACAGGTTTAATCCAAACAAAATGTGCTTAAACGTGTCTCTGTGATCATTGGATGGCTGCAGACAAGTTCTCTTAGCAAGACACATCTTTGTCTTGTTGTGTTTAATCAGTGCCATGGAGTCGGTTCTATCTTATAGTAATACTGTATAGGATTTCTGAGGAGCGACTGGTGGGCTTGAACTGTTGACCTTGTGATTAGCAGTCCAGTGCTTATGCTACAGTGCTACTACAAGACTTTTTACTCTTGTTTTTTTTGTTGTTGTTAAGTGCCATTGAGTCGTTTCTGATTCATAGAGACCCTGTATAGAGTTTCTGAGGAGTGATTGGTAAGCTTGAACCGCCAACCTTTTGATTCAAACTGACCTTGTGGTCCAGTGCATTATCCTGCAGTGCCACACCAGGAAAGGGAGAGTTTTTGTGCCATGGGGAAAAATGATATTGAGGTCAGGTCTATCATAAAATATTTAACAAAATTCAAGTGGACATCTTCTGACATTATTGAAGTGTTGCAACAAGCTTATGAGAATGCTGCCCCCCACAAAACAATAGTTTTTAGATGGATCAAGCATTTTAAGTAAGGTTGGGAAGACTTCAAGATGAGCCAAAAGAAGGAAGATCATTACCTTGATGAATAACAAAACTTTGGCTGATGTCCAGAAACCGATCAAAGAAGACTACAGAATTACCATTGATTGTGGATAGCGACTGAAGTTTGGATCTCATATAGTTTGACATTTTCAATTTTAAGCTAACATCTTGTCCTGACGAGTTTAAACAGTGTTGCGAGAAGAACAGCTAGCTCAAAAGCTGATTTTTTCACCAGTCTTTTAAGCACGATCCAAGCTAATAAGGAGGATTTTATCAAATGAATCATAACCAGGGACACATCTTGGATTTACTAATACAACCTAGAGAGCAAGCTCCAACCCAAACAATGCCTTCTTAGGGGATCTACTGGGCCAGTTCACTTCAAAGTAGAAATGTCAGCTCAGAAGACTATGATGGGAATTCCAAAGGCATAATCTTGATATATTTTGTTTTTCAAGGACACAGGATGATCATGGGAGCTTATTAGGAAGAACTTTTAAAAAAATTAAAAACTGCATTGGTGAGAAAAAGGCCATAAAGGACGTTGAAAAGGAACATGGTTTGAGTCCTTAGAACAGGAGTGGAGAACCCTTTTTCTGCTAAGGGCCATTTGGATATTTATGACATCATTCGTGGGCCATACAAAATTATCAACTTAAAAATTAGCCTGCTACGTTTGGTCAAACTGTGGTTGCCTTGGCAGGGCCAGACCTAATGATTTTGCTGGCCTTATATGGCCCATGAGCTGGAGGTTCCCCACATCTGCTTTGTTGTTGTTGCATGGTGTTACTGATTTGGTACTGACTCATAGATATATTATGTAGAATAGATCTGTTTAAACAACTGCCTCTTGGTCCAAGTACAGGTTCCTCATGAGCACAATTAAGTGTTCTGGAATATTCAGTATTTGCAATGTTACCATAGCTTGTCATAATCCACACAATCAAAAGCCTTTCTGTAGTCAATAAAGCACAGGTAAACATCTTTTGGGTATCCTCTGCTTTCAGCCAAGATCCATCTGATATCAGCAATGATATCCCTCATTCTACATCCTCAACTGAATCTGACTTGAACCTCTGGCAGCTCCCTGTCACTGTACTGTTGTAGGCGTTTTGAATTATATTTAGCAAAATTTTACTTGCATGTGTTATCAATGATAATGATATTGCCCGAGGATTTCTGCACTGCTGTTTTAATTTAATGTGGTATAAATTGGAGAGGACAGAATTCTCTGGGTAAAGGGTAGAGAAATGGAAACATCACCTTCAGAAGTGTACAGACCTAGATGGAAGATATATTGAGGAACAACAGCTTCCCATTTAATTTAAGAAAGGTTTCATTGATTTTGTAGCAATCCTTTTGACTTACCTTCATATATGCACTGAAGTCCTATACAAAAGGTTATTGTTGCTAGATGCCATCGAGTTGGCTTCGACTCATAGCAACCCTATGCAAAACAGAATGAAACACTGCTTTGTCCTGCACAATTGTTGTCACACTTGAGCCCATTGCTGTTGCCACTGTGCCAAACCATCTCTTTGGGGGTCTTCCTCTTTTTCACTGAGCCTCCACTTTACCAAGCATAATATCCTTCTCCAGGGACTGGTCCCTCCTGATAATATGTCCAAGTATGAAAGATGAAGTCTCGTCATTCTAGCTTCTAAGGAGGATTCTGACTGTACTTTGCCTAACGCAGATTTGTTTGTTCTTGGTACTTTCAATATTCTTCTCCAACACCATCGTTCAAATACATCGATTCTTATCCAGTGTTCTTTATACATGTCCAACTTTCATATACATATGAGGCAATTGGAAATACTATGGCTTGGATCAGGCTCACCTTAGTTCTCAAACTGGTATCTTTGCTCTTGAACACTTTAAAGAGGTCTTGTGCAGTAGATTTTACCTATTGCAATATGTCATTTGATTTCTTGACTGATGCGTCCATGAGTGTTGATTCTGAGGGTCTAGCAAAAATTATCACCACTCTTGCTGTAGAATTAATTTTAACCAACTTTTAGAAAAGACAAATATATCATTTTTGGACATAATCTCCTTGCTTTTCAATATATTTTATCCATCTGCTACAAACTTTCCTACTTCCTTATTTAAAAATGATTGAGGCTGAGCTGCAAGCCACAAAGGCACCACTGTTTTTATTTCTTCATCAGCGGTGAATCTTCATCCTCGAAGGGCTGCTTTCAGGGGACCAAATAGGTGAAAGTCTGATGGAGCAAGATCAGGACTATAGGGAAGATGCTTTAATACCTCAAAACAAAGTTTTTGCAGAGTGTCAGCAGTGTGGACAGAGGTGTGTGGATGTGCATTGTCATGCAAGATCAAAATGCCCTCTGCATTTAATCCAAGTTTAGGCTTCAGCTCTTCAGTGAGCATCTCACTGTAATGAGCACTGTTGATTGTTGAACCTTTTTCCTGATAATGTTCCAATACCGGCCCTTGAGAATTCCAGACAACTGTGAGCTTCAAATTTCCAGCTGATGTTTGACTTTTGAACTTCTTCTTGGTTGGTAATTGAAGATGCTTCCATTCCATGCTCTGCCGTTTACTCTCAGGAAACATGACAATGCACATCCATACACCTCTGCCCACACTGTTGACACTCTGCAAAAAATTTGTTTTGAGGTGCTAAAACATCCTCCCTAAAGTCCTGATCTTGCTCCATCAGATTTTCACCTGTTTAGTTCCCTGAAAGCAGCCCTTCGAGGATGAAGATTCACCTCTGATGAAGAGGTGAAAAAAGTGATGCATTCGTGGCTCACAGCTCAGCCACAAACATGTTTAAATAAGGGAATCTGAAAGTATGTTACAGATTGACAAAGTGTATTGTAAAGCAAGTAGATGATGTCGAAAAATGATGTATTTGTCTTTTCTAAAAGTTGATTAAAATAAATTCTACAGCCAGAGTGTGGATAATTTTTGACTCACCCTTGTAGATCCAAGCAAAATGAAGTCTTTGACACCTTCAATATTGTCACCATTTATCATGATGTTATTTATTGGTCCAGTTGTGAGTGTTTTTATTTTATTTACATTTAGTTGCAATCCATACTGAAGGCCGTGGTCTTTGATCTTCATCAGTAAGTATTTTAAGTCCTCTTTGCTTTCAGCAAGCAAGGTTGTATCTTTTATATATCACAGGTTGTTAATGAATCTTCCTCCTATTCTGATGCTACATTCTTCTTCACATAATCCAGATTCTTAGATTATTTGTTCAGCATACAGACTGAATAAGTATGCTGAAAGAACACAACCCTAGCACACACCTTTCCTGATTTTAAACCATTCAGTATGCCCTTATCACTTTGAATGACTTCCTCTTGGCCTATGTATAGGTTCCTCATAAGTATAATCAAATATCCTGGAATTCCCATTCTTCACAATGTTGTCCATGTTTGTCATAATCCACACTATATGAAGCCTTTGTGTAATTAATAAAGCACACGTAAGTGTCTTTCTGTTATTCTCTGCTTTCAACTAAAATCTATCTGATGCCAGCAGTGATATTCCCTGGTTCCACGTCCTCTTCTGAATCTGACTTGATACACTGTTGAAGCCATTTTTAAATTATCTTCAGCAACATTTTACATGCATGTGATATTATATTATTCGATGTTTTCCACATTATGTTGGTGGATGCAAATAGTAACTACTGTTATTATTGCTTGAATCTTAGCAGATAGGACCCCAAATCAGTAGATCAAATTAAAGAGGAACAATATACAAATGTGGGGCTAGTGGTGGCTCAGTGGTAGAATCCTCACCTTCCTTCTGGGAGATGTAAGTTCGATTCCTGACCAATGTATCTCATATGTAGCCACTACCCATCTGTGAGCAGAGGCTTATGTGTTGCTATGATGCTGACCATGTTTCAGCAGAATTTACAGACTAAGATGGGCTGGGGAGAAAGGTCTGGTGATGTACTTCTGAAAATCAATCAATGAAATCTCTGAATCACAATAATTTGAAACATGTGCATGGGGTTGCCATGAACTGGGAACTAACTCGATGGCAGTTAACAATAACAATATCAATTGTAAATGTTATTTGATCACAGCACAATAGCACAAGTACATGCAGGGTGGCCTAGGGTAAGGAGACGCTTCAAGAAGAATTCTTACTCTAAACATTTTATTGCTCTCCAAAGATAATTTTAAGTATGCTTGATGCTGGACTCTTCTAATAAGCAGAACAGTCATGATGAACTTTCATTTTTCTTTCAGAAATCACCTAAAAGATGTCCCAGAGGCTATCTCTGAAAGCAAGCATGTGACCTATTCTCACTGTGAGTTGGGTGAAAAATGGGTGGGAGGTGGCTGGGCTATTTTAGGGGTGATTGCATTCCATACTCAGCCTTCTTGACTGTCTTGATTGCTTAAGGTATATTAAAAGTCTTCTGTCAGGACTCAAAGTGGGTATTTCTGCAGTTTCCAGAATTCCTAGAAAAAGTCATTGTTCCCAGGTGAGGCTAAAATATTTAGCTAGTAGGTAAGAATATAAATTAGAATCTGTCAGACTCTAGTTATCAAGTCTGGACTCCTGGTGTGGTGCTGTAGGATTAGCACTGGACTGCGAATCCAAGGTCAGCAGTTCAAACCCACCAGCTGCTCCTAGGAAACCCTATACAAGGTTGCTATGAGTAAAAACTGACTTGATGGCACTTAACAATAACAAAACAGTTGTCAAGTCAAGGAACCCTAGTGGCACAATGGTTAAACACTTGGCTGCTAACCAAAAGGTCTACAGTTCAAACCCAATAAATGCTCTGTGGTAGAAAGATGGGGCAGTCTGCTTCCATAAAGATGGCCAGTCTTACCACAAGAATAAGCAAGCTGTTCGCCAGGAAGCCATCAAGGCAAGCAATCAAGTTCCTTCAGGACAAACCCCCCTTCCAGACTGAAATTCAAAGGGAACACACAAGCAGGCAGGCATGTAAACTTGCTGGCTACCATGTTGGTCTACTGGTGAGTGGAAGAGGCAGCAATGAAGAAATGGGGTGAGTTCAACCATATTCCACAGACTTCCATCGACCTGAGATGAGAGAGAGAAGAGGAAGGGCTGGTTGGTCTGAAGTGTGGTGAGACCTGGGGATACCTGAGCCCATGGACAAGGACATAGACACGGAGGGCTAGAGCTGAGAGTGAAGCATCCAGCTGATATGAAGTGAGGGGAGATGCACAAGAATGCCCAAACTTGCAGATAGTACCCATTTGACCTAGCCTTGATGGCTTGATAATCAGAACTTGACTTGTTGTTGTTAGGTGCCATCGAGTCAGTACCAACTCATAGCAATCTTATGCACAGCAGAGCAAAACACTGCCAGATCCTGGGCCAACCTCACTACTGTTGCCACGCTTGAGTCCATCAATGCTGCTACTTGGCCAATCCATCTCATGGGGGGTCTTCCTCTTTTTCTCTGACCCTCCACCTTACCAAACATTATATCCTTCTCCAGCAACTGTCCCTCTTGACAATATGGGAACTTGACTAGAGGAAGATAAAAAAACAAAACAAAACAATTTTTGATAAAGGAAATGAGTGTAAATTGCTACAATTTGATGTACTTGACCTATATATATGGATGTGGTGGTTGTGGTGGTGGTTATGTGCTGTGGAGTCGGTTCCGCCTGATTCGTAACCACTACACTACCAGAGCTCCTTATATTTATGGATGTAGTAGCTCAAAATACCAACTAAGAAGGAAGGAATCTTCACATCAAGTATCAAGCATATCCCCTCTGTATACAGGGTTGATAGGGATGGGCAACTTAGGCATTAGCTACCTAAAATGAGGGGGCAATAAAGTCACTAAGTGACTGGCTTACAAATTTTCAAGAAGGAGTTTAGTTTCAGAGTGTACAGAGAAAGTAGAGTCCCCACTGAATAGTTTTCATCTTGTCTAGATGGGTCTGGTGAAAAGATATGGAGATAAGATTCTTATGATTCAATAGTGAGAAATTGTTCTCATGATTAATGGTGACTGTCACAATTGTAAAGGTAGAAGTTTTGTAGCATAAAGGAGGGAGTAGTTAATCTTACAGTACAGAAACAGAGGACCCTAGGACCATCAAGATAGAAGAGGAGAAACAGAGTATGGGACCCTATCCAGCGAAGCAGCAATACTAGAGATGGAGGCAGAAATGAAGACATGGAGCGAGGGAACAGCTGAGGACTCTAGAATCATGGAAAAAGAAGGCTGTGTGCTGGCAGCCAGGAGACAGGCTTGCAGAATGTGTTCTTTGGTTGTTTAAATTATTATATATTTCTGAATGTTTCTGTGTACACACACCTCCCCCCCACAAAAACAAAACAAAACAAAACGACAACACCACCAAACAAACAGGGAATGGAAGCAAATACCGTTGAATGATGATGCACAGAGGAGATTGTAATCATTACAATGATGGTATAAAGCCGATGTTCTCCCATGTAAACTATCACTCAGTTCACAATAAAAACTTAAAAAAATAAAAAATAAAAACTCTATGGGGCAGTTCTATTCTGCCATATAGGGTTGCTGTGATTTGGAACTAACTCCACAGTAATGGGTTTTTGGTTTGGTTTAGGTATCATGTCAGTGAGATTAGGAACTCTGCAAAGTGCATTCTGGGCATATCTCATACATGCACACCTCCCACTCTTGCCTCTCTGTTCTGGATGTCTAGTGTTGTTAGTAATAGTAGTAGTAGTAGTAGTAGTAGTAGTAGTAGTAGTAGTGTACCACTGAGTTGGTTCTGACTCATAGTGACCTTGTTATATAAAGTGACCGAGGCTATAAATCTTTACAGGAGCAGAAAGCCTCATCTTTCTCCCACTGAGTGGCAGGCAGATTCAAACTACTGACCTTGCAGTTAGCAGCCCAGCTCATTACACACTATGCTACCAGTTGGTCACCAATGTGATGCCTCAGGCAAGCTGTGGTCTTCCATGTGAGGAAGAGTCTGCATTTGTCGTGTGGAAGGCTCTAGGAAGTGCTGGGAAATTCTGTAGGCACTGTTGGGTGTTCCTAACCAGATGGCCCCTTTTCATATTCCAATCCAGTAGAGGAGGTCCTGTGATGGAGGTAGTCCTCTAAAGCTGACACAGTAAGCTACGATTGGTGATACCGGCATGGAAGAGTTAGTCCTGTTACCTGAGACACCTTTTAAATTTGGGTTACAGTGGCTTGCTAGGTTCCTTTCTGCAATTTTTCAGCCGTGGCATTCTTTACTTCCTCTTTCCCTGACCCCAACTCCATCTTCCATCCCAGAAGTAGCAACATAGTCACATAAGGGGAAGCAGCTCTCAGAAAAGCCCTTAAAAATGTGAGATGGAATAAAAAGCTGTTTTTGATTGTAGGTGAAGGACCACATGCAGAGCCAGTCCCTTTCAAAGTTTACATGTTTCAATATTTTCCATTACATGAGGGAAACTAAGTGTGCAGAAACCAGGTTCTGGGGGGTTGGGGATGGGTGGGTGGGATTTGCATGGCTTTGCTTGGTTGTTGTTGTTAAGTGCCACTGAGTTGGTTCCGACCCATAACGACCCTATATAGGGTTTCCAAGGAGCTACTGGTGAGCTTGAACCGCCGACCTTGTAGGTCAAACAACTTTGCAGTTTGGTGCATTAACCCACAGCACCACACCAGGACTCCGGCTTTGCTTGGTAGATACTAGAATTTTCATTCTAATAATCTAACAGGTACCTCTTGGGCCCCATGCTAATTGTTGTTATGTGCCGTGGAGTCGGTTCCGATCCATAGCGACCCTGTACAGGGTTTCCGAGGCTAATATAACAATGGGAAAATGAAAATGATGAAAGATTTGTTGAAAATTACTGAGTCCAGACTTTGTAACGGGAACTTGACACACTTTATTTGCTTGTACATAAAAAGTATTAAACAAAGGCAGTGACTTCTAAAGCTAAGCTCCATTTCCCTTCCCTAAAGTGCTGGTGATGATCTTAATGGACATTTTTAAGGAACAGCACTGGTCTAGTCTGAATCACATGTGTGGGTTTCTCAGTTGAGATCTGGTTGGTGGGAGGACACCCTTCTTGTTACAGGATGGCACTAGCAAGTCTGTCTTTGATACTGACTTTTTCTTGGAGCCCTGGTGATACAATTGTAAAAATGCTCAGATGCTAACCAAAGGTTAGAAATTTGAACCCACCAGCCACTCCATGGGAGAAAGACGTAGTCATCTGCTTTCATAAAGATTATAGCCTTGAAAACCTTTGGGGGCAGTTCTACTTGGCTTTTTCGAGTTGTTATAAGTCAGAATTGACTATAGTAACTGGTTTATTTTTGCTTTTGGTTTTGATTCTTTCTGTGTGAAACATCACCTAGTTGTAGATCTGTTGTTGTTAAGTGCTATTGAATTGCTTCCAACTTGTAGCGATCCTATAGAGGGTTTCCGAGGCAGCTGGTGGGTTTGAACCACTGATTTTGTGATCAGCAGTCCAGTGCATATTCCTATAGCGCCGAACTAGGAATCCAAATCTAGTTATCTATATACTTAATCTTCCCTCCTAGATAGCTTCATGTTAATTTAATTAAATCAGAAGCCACTTAAGTTTGCATTAAAACAAAACTTTTTATTGCAAATTGGATGAAAGTTTTCAGAGCAGATCAGTTTTCCATTCCTCAATTCATGTACATTTTGTCCATCTCATTCTTGCAATCCTTTCCATGTAATATCACACATCTCACTTCCTTCTTCCTTGTGTTTCCTGTTTCCTTTCCTCCTTCCTTCCTAACCCTTCCAAACTTTGTCTGTGGATAAATGCTGTCCTTTTGATCTAAGTGGTTGATTAGCTTCAGGTGTGTGCATCTTTCTAGTGTTATTGTTCCCCTTAGAGACCTGTCTATTGTTTGGCTGAAAATTGAGGCAAGAGGGTGACTTCAGTTCCAGACCTGAAAACTAAGCTCTTTTATATTTCTATTAACTTCAGCATTCAAACTTGTATTTTATATAGCTTATGATACCAGTATTTTTAAAGTAACTTTCCAGTGTCTGATAGATAGGACCTGTCATGTATCTCCAAGGAAGCCAGCCTACCTGCCTTACAGGCATCAGGGTTTGGGAGTTGTGATCTTCCCACACAGGTAGCCATTCAGTCTCATTTGCATAGAAATGTAGCCATGCAAAGTAGCTGGACCTCTAACTACTTGCATGGCAGGTCATGGAAAGTCTTAGTATCCTTCTCTTGTCTCTTCTAGTGGGGGGCTGGATCTTTTCCAATCCAGATGGAATGTGCACAGCAGGAAATGCCAGTTACCAGTATGCAGCTCCCTTGTCTCTGCCTGCTCCCCATTCCCACCATGGCTGTGAGCACTATCCAGGCCTCAGGGGACACCGGCAGGCTCCCTACTCTTCAGCCTACTTGCACAGAAACCACTCTCCCACAGGTTTGTGATTCTGCTAACTAAACCCTTGGGGGTGGAGGGAGAGCAGTGTATAAACAACTATAAATTCTCTGGAGTTGAAACTCCACTCAGCGAATGCATTTAACATATCTATAGAACATCAGCAAATACTATTGTTTTTGTATGGCGTCTTATTGTACTATCAGTAATATTGTATTGTCATTTTATATCTTAATATTTGATTATCTGGTGATATCACTCTTAGTCTTTTGTAATTATGTCACAAAACATGCAGCTTCTTTTATTGGGTGTGAAAGGCCTCTTCCCAGGCAGCTGGTGTACTGAGCAGTTTCAGCTGCATTCTTTAATAGCCAAGGACTGGTAGTTCTGTGGGTTGGGAACACTCAGCTCAGTGTCTCCAGCATAGCTCTTTTCTCCAGTTGCATTGCTTGGCTGAGTGCAGTCCAGGGAATGCAGGCCCAGCACTGACAGCAGCGCTCTGAGGAAGGTCTCTGGGGGAACCGGAGCATTCTCTGTGTAAGTCAATCAAAGGCATGCAAACCCATCCTTAATGATTTTTGCAGTCTGATGAGTTTTTAATCAGACTGCTAGTGTTTATACAGTTTATGTAGTTTTTCATTGATGATCTTGTGTCTGCCTTGGATTTCCGTCTCCTCAGATTTTGCCTGGTTATTAGATTTGTATAAAGGAAGGGAGAAAAAGAAGATTATATTTTCACTCAACTATTCATACAGCAAGTATTTATTAAAGGCCAAATATATGCCAGGCACTTGTTTAGGTAATAGGGAATATCATGACTAGAATCATGACAAATACCCTACCCTTGTGTAGATTATAGCCTAATAGTTTTTGTTTTGTTTTGTTTTGTGTGTGTGTGTGTGTGTGTGTGAAAAACATTGCCTTTTAGTTGATTCTGACTCGTAGTTATTGTTAGGTACTGTTGAGTTGGTTCCAACTTATTATATATACATAGAGTTAGCTAGCTACTCTATGTATAATAGAACAAAATACTGTCTGCTCCGCGCCACCTTCATCAGTGTTAATATTTGAGCTTGTCACTGCTGTCACTGTCAGTCCATCTTGTTAAGGGTCTTCCTCCTTTTCACTGACTCTCCACTTTATCAAACGTGATGTCCTTCTCCAGGAATGGGTCCTTCCTTGAAAACATGTCCAAAGTACATGAGACGAAGTTTTGCCATCCTCACATCCAAGGAGCAATGAGTCCTCACTGCTTCCAAAATAAATTTGTTAGTTGTCTGGCAGTTCCTTGGTAAATTCAATATACTTCACCAGCATACTAATTCAAATGCATCGGTTTTTCCATGGTCTTCCTTATTCATAATTAAGCTTTCACATGCATATGAGGTGATTGAAATTCCATGAGTTGGTGGCAGATGCAGGAGCTGAGGTTGAACAGGCATACCTAAGTCTTCAAAGTGATATCTTTATTCTTTAGTACTTTAGAGAGATCTTTTCCTGAAGACTTGCCTAATGCAACATTTCATTTAATTTCTTGACACCAGCTTCCATGAGTGTTGATCCAAGTTAAATTAAATATTTTCTCCATCTGTCATGATGCTGTTTATTGGTCCAGTTGTGAGGATTATCATTTTCTTTACATTGAGGTGCAATCCATACTGAAAGCTGTAGTTTTTGCTTTTCATCAGGAAGTACTTCAAGTCCTCTTAGTGTCCCCACAAGCAATGCTGTGTTATCTATATATCACAACTTGTTGATGAGTTTTACTTTTGATGCCACATTCTACTTCATATAATACACATTATTGGATTCTTTGCTCAGCATATAGATTGAATGGTGGTGATGGTGGTGTGCCATGGAATTGGTTCTGACTTATAGCAACCCTGTATAGGGTTCTTGAGGCTGTAAATCTTTATGGGAGTAGAAAGCCTCATCTTTCTCTGGTGGAGCAGCTGGTGGATTTGAACTGCTTACCTTGCGATTAGCAGTCCAATGCTTAACCCACTACATATACTACCAGGGTTCCTTACAGACTGAATAAGTATGGTGAAAGGATATCACCCTGACACACACCTTTCCTAATTTAAACCATTCAGTATCCCCTTGTTCTGTTTGAAGGGCTGCCTCTTGGTCTAAGTACAGGTTCCTCAGGAGCACAATTAAGAATTCTTTAATTCCTATTCTTTGCAATGTTAGCCATAGTTTGTTGTGATCCACACAGTCTAATACCTTTGCATAAAACACAAGTAAACATCTTTCTAATATGCTCTACTTTTAGCCAAGGTCCATCTGATGTCAGCAATGTTATCCCTCGTTCCACTTCCTCTGACTCCAGCTTGAATTTCTGCCAGCTTTCTGTCAATGTGCTGCTGCAACTCTTTTTGAATTGTCTTCAGTAAAATTTTATTTGCGTGTGATATTAATGTACTGTTAGATCATTCCCACATTCTTTGGGGTCACCTTTCTCTGGAATAGGTACAAATACAGATCTCTTCCAATAGGTTGGCCAGGTAGCTGTCTTCCAAATTTCTTTGCATAGACTAGTGAGTGATTCTAGCGCTGCATCAATTTTTTGGGAACAGACTTCTAGTAATTGGAGAATAGAGTTCAGGGCTAGTAAAGGACATAAATAAATAGTCACAATACAATGCAGTGAGTGCTATAATATGGTCTTTGGACCAGAGCATCATCTGGGAGCTTATTAGAAGTACACAGTCTTTGGGTTCTACATCAGAACTAGTAAGTCAAAGTCTGAATTTTCACAAGATTCCCAGGTGATTTGTATAAATAAACACATTACAATTTGAGAGACACTCTCTAAAACACAGAAACCAAGGTGCCATGGGAATGAAGGAAAAAGAGCATTTAGATCTGCCATCTGGGGAAGCGAAGGTTGCTTGTTAACACTGAAGTTGAACCTTGAAGGATGAATGAAAAAGGACAGAGGTGGGAGTGGGTGGTGGTGAAAGAGGGCAGACTGCCAAAGGGCAGCAGTGAAGGGCTTTCTAGGAAGAGGAAGCAAAGGGCAAAGAATCTGGGTTGCTGGGAACAGAGTGAAACAGTGTATAGATGAGAAGGAGAGGAGAGGTGGCAGATGCAGGAGCTGAGGTTGAACAGATTGCAAGAAAAGTCTATGAGTCATGAAAAGTCTATATGAGACACCAAAGGATCCCAGACTGAGAGTGGCGTGGCCAGGACTTCCTCCCTCCTCCCGTCTCTTCTTCTTCCCCATCCCTCTTCCTCCCTCCTTTCCTTTTTCCTTTCTATTGCATGTCCTCTATATATTTAAACGGAGATTCAAAAACTTATCAGACTTGTCACTCTGAGTAGATTTTGAAATCTACTTGGAGATCACTGGATAGAAGAATCAGGACATGGCACTTGAAAACCATGGCATGCTCATACCGTCCATTCTTTAGGTTTTTTTGTTTGTTTGTTTGTTTTTTAATAGATGTTATTTTTAGATCAGTTTTAGGTTTACAAAGAAAAATTGAGCAGAGTGTTCAGGGAGTTTCTAATAAGACCCATCACCACCACAAACATACATTTCCCCCTATTGCTAACATCTTGGATTAGTACATTGTTGTTGTTGTGAAGTGCCGCCGAGTCGATTCTGACCCATAGTGACCCTGTATAGAGTTTCCAAGGAGCAGCTGGTAAACTTGAACCACCAACCTTGCAGTTCAGACGGCTTTGCAGTCTGACGCATTAGCCCACAGCACCACACTAGTGGTCCATTTGTTATATAGTGGATGAACCGATATGGATATATTCAGTCCATTCTTAAAGTGGGGGAGGTGTTATGATGGTGTAGATTCCGACTTCTGACCACCCTGTGTATGCAGAGTAGAACTGTTCCAGAGAGTTGTCAAGGCTGTGACTTTTTGAAAACAGCCATGCCAGTCCTCTGAGGTGCTTCTGGGGGGAGTTCGAACTGTCAACCTTTCAGCTTGTAGTCAAGAGTTTAACCATTTGTGGCACCCAGGGATGCCTTTATGTCGAAATGAGTTACAGCTGTGCTACAAAGCAAATCATCTCACCTCTCTGAGCCTCATCTCTAAAATGGGATGAGAAGTTGTGGTGATTCCAATATGAAAGGCAGCTGGCATATCGTGGGCATTCAATAAACCTAAGCTCTTCCCCCTTTTTGGTTTTTCTTAGAAAACCTAAGTTCTTCCCTTCAAACTGTTGGTGCTTGCAACACAAATTATGATTATGGTTTGCCTTTAGGATAATATCATTGGCCACCATCTTTATAAGTTTTCTGTGCTCCATCATGGAGTCCTGGTGTGGCACTGCAGAATAAGCACTTAGCTCTTAACCGAAAGGGCGGTAGTTCAAACCCACCAGCCACTCCTTGGAAACCCTATGTAGGGTTGCTATGAGAACCAACTTGATGAGACTTAACAACAGCAACAATAAAATGTTCAATCATTGAACTGTTGTTTTTTCCCCAAAAGTGAATTTTATAGAAAGCTCAAATGATAATCTGCAAGTTTTCTCAGGACCTGAAAGCTGGACCTCTTTATCCTCTACACCCCACACCAGCATCCTGTCTGTACCCCACACAAATGGACCCATCAATCCAGGGCCCAGGTAAGACAAGTGCCAACAACTCACTCATTGTGGTCTTAGGGGGTCTGCCTTAACACTGGGGACTCCAGTTTATGATTTCTTCAAGGGCTAGAAGGTGGCTTGGTCTGGACTGTTGTCTCACTTTCCAGGACACACGAGGGTACTGTGAGTTAGAATGACTCCATGGTACCTGGATAGGCATTGAGGATGATGACAGGATGGACCCTTCGTTCCTAGAGAAGATTTGCTTAGTCAGATCTTTTTTCTTTTGTAGGTTCTTAAGAGGGTGTCCTGATGTAGCGCTGTAGGATAAGCACTGGACTGTAAGGCCTGTACGAATGGCAAGGTTGGTGCTTCAAACCCACCAGCCACTCCTCAGAAACCCTATATACAGGGTCTCTATGAGCAGAAACTGACTTAACAGCATTTAACAACAACAAGGGATTGACAATTAAAAGATAGAACTTGGGGAGAAGTCATAATCTTCTGGAAAAGGAAAATTTAGAAGAATATGCTTTGGTCTAGAGATGTGCTTCTAAATGTTAATACACCCTAGAATCACACGAGGATTTTGACTAATAGGTCTGGGCTGGGGCCTGAGGTTCCACATGTTTAACAAGTTCCCAGGGGTTTCTGATGTTCAGTCCACGGTCAATGCAGCAACTACTAGCCAGATGTACTGTTTATTGAGTACTTGAAATGTCCAAATTGAGACACACTCTAAAGTATAAAATGCACACAGGATTCTGAAGATTTAGTATGAAAAAAATACAAATCTCATGGATAATTATTTATATTGAATGCATGTGGGAAAGATATTTTTGAATATTTTGAGTTACATAAAAATCATTCAAAATAAATTCATTTTTCCCCTTTTCTTTTAATGTGAAAATTTTAAATTGCATCTGTGGTTTGCATTTTCAGCTCATATTTTATTTGTTTTTGAAATATTTTGCTGTGTTTTCAGTGAATGTTTACACAGAAAATTTGGTTTCCACATAGCTGTGTTTATATATACTGTTCTATGACATTGGTTACGATTTTCACAATGTGTCAGCATTCTCAGTATTTACATTCAGCTTGGTCTGTTTCCATTCATCTAGCTGTGCTTCACTTCCTTGCCTTAACTCACATTTTATTTCTGCTGGACAGTAGATCTAAGGGAAAAATCACTGACTTGAGATGTGGTAGGAAATCAGAAGAAATGAAGTGGAGGTGATCCTAAAATAATAAACAAATCATATACCATATGATATATATCTTCTATATTTTACATAAGGGGCTTCCAATAGTTCATGGAAAAATGGAATTAAAAGATATTGGAATTTTCCCAAGAACCTTTTGAAACCACCTCATATAAGTTGTCCCTAGTACTCAAGTTGTCAGGGAGTCCTGGTGTGGTGCTGTGGGCTAAAGCACTGGACTGCAAAGTTGGTGTGAACTGCAAGGTTGGCGATTCCAGTTCACCAGTCACTCCTAGGAAACCCTATACAGGGTTGCTATGGGTCTAAATGACTCGATTGCACTTAACAACAACAAGAATAGTACTCAAAGATCTCGATATGGCATTTAACTGCTGAAGAAACATAAGCTCAGAGGTATAACATCTTTCTGAAGGCCACAGAGTAAGTAGTTTGAGTTAGAACCTGTGGTTTTCCCTCTGGCCCACAGGAACCAGAAAAGGACCCTGAGGGATTTTCTAGAAAAACTTTTCTGGAAGTTGAGGTCAGAGTCTCAGAAAGTTGAGTGGCTCAGAGAGGTCAGGGGGTAGGCTTCTGCAGGTTCAATGTCCTCCAAAGAGGTTTACAATGTTCGACACGTAGCTCAGGTTAGAGGATGGCATTGCTGCCTCTGGTTTCATCGTGTGTTGAACCCATTCCTGATTCTATAAAAATGTTGTTGATGCTAAGTGCTGTCGAGCTGGTTGCAACTCATAGGGACCCTGTAAATGCCCTTTTCTCATTTAGACTTCATTAATATGCACAAGAGGAGTCCTGGTGTGGCGTTGTGGGTTAATGTATCAGACTGCAAAGCCGTTTGAACTGCAAGGTTGGTGGTTCAAGCTCACCAGCTGCTCCTTGGAAACCCTATACAAGGTTGCTATGTGTCGGAACCGACTCAATCACACTTAACAACAACAACAAACAATATGCACAAGAACCATTATAAGGTCTATATAATTACCACTCCAAATCTGGAAGATGTGGAAACTGAAGCTCATCTATGATATTTTAAACACGTTCAAAACACTCATAAGTGGTAGAGTCAAATCCACACCTTCTGACACCAATAAACCAAAAAAGTAAATCCACTCCCATTAAGTCTGTTTGACTCATAGTGTCACTCTAGGAAGAGTAGAATTACTCCTTAGAATTTTGGAGACTATAAATCTCTATGGGAGCAAGACAGTCTCATCTTTCTCCCATGCCAACCTTATGGATAGCAGTCCTCAGCCCAGTGCTTGAAACTACACCACCAGGACTCCTTTCTAAGACCAGTACCAAACCCCAAACCAAATCCACTGCTATCGAGTCAATTCCCACTCATAGCCACCCTGTATATTGTTTCTGAGGTTGTAGATCTTTATGGGAGCAGACAGCTTTATCCTTCTCTGGTGGTTTGAACTGCCGACTTTTCAGTGAGCAATCCAGTACTTTTCCTGGCTATTTCTTGGTCAAGGAGAGGTCCTTCCAGAGTATACAATCTAAATACCTCCCTTTAGTCCCTTGCTCATGTTATACATGTAGCAAGAGAGACCCAGAGAAGGGAAATACTGTTTAAAACCTTACTAGCAGCAGGTCTGATACCAGAATCTCTGGACATCTAGTCTTATGTTCATTCCACTACACCTTGATGCTTCTCTTGGACTTTTTGCAGAAACAGGGCCAATTTGTGTTAGCTTATGCTAAAATTGTGGCCAGACACCCCCCTCACAGAAATATGCCTGTATGTGCATTTACCAGGGGCCTGTGGCGGCTCTTCCTCCTTTCTCTCTGTCTCTGCAGCCCCTACCCATGCCTGTGGACCATCAGCAACAGTGGCGGGGGCCCTGCAGGGCATGGCCCAGAAGTACACACCAGTTCCCAGGGTGCCTTTCTTCTGAGCAACCCAGCTGTGACTTCGCCACCCCCTTCTGTGCTCACCACTCAAGCACCTGCTTCAGCTGGCATGGAGGTTCTGGGGGAGCCCTCACTGACCAGCATTGCTGTGTCCACCTGGACAGCTGTGGCCTCGCATCCTTTCTCAGGCTGGGGTGGCCTCGGTGGTGGTGGGCGCCATTCTCCTTCCTCATTGGACAGTTAGGCAGGATCCTAGGGAAGAGTGCCAGTAGAGAAAGTTTTACGTGGAGAGTGCTTAGAAACCCATCTACTGGATTCTAGGAAGTCACACTGCAGGGTCCTCCCACCAAGTGAGCTGGAGGTGGGGTGTTATGTCAGAAGTCCTGCTGGGAGATGGTTACCTTTGGGTGATGCTATAATTATAGCCGATCTTCATTAGCTGAGGATTTGTGAATTCGTTTACTCACTGAAATTTATTTGTAGCCCTGAAACCAATACATGCTGAGCTTGTACAGGTATTTGCAGACAAGTGCAGAGCTGTGAAAAATTTGAGTCAACCCAGGTGCACATTCCTAGCTAAGGTGGACTAAGGCTGTTTTGACATCAGCTAATTCAATGTTTTAGAGAACTGCTTTTAGTAAGGAATATCCACAGTTTCACTGCCATCTCTCCACCATTTTTCTTTCCCATTCCCATATTCTCTCCAGATTATCATTCTGTGCTCAGGCACCAAGAAGTCATCGGGTACCTTCTAACATGTCTCTTCACTTCCTGTTCTGTGCAGGTGTTGTAAAGCTGTTAAATGAGCTCAGAGTTTACGTCTCCTGCTCCTTTCATTGTGAAGCCCTGGAAAGTATGTATGGCCACAGAACCCAGCTAAGTTCTGTTTTGAGGTCACGAGAGGGCAGGAGTCCACTAAATGAATTTTTTTTTTTTCTTTTTAAAAAAGACCTAATCAAAGATTATGCATAGATGTATGCTTGGAACTGCGGAAATCAAGTCATGTCACTTCTTGCTCAGAAACTTCTGATGATTCATTATTGCCTACAGAATTAAGTCAATTCTGCTTATTATACAGAACTTCTCTAGCATCTAGCCCCAAACCACTACATTAGCTGTAGCTCCTTTTTTAGGATGTTATCCCATTAGCATCCTAGATGTCAGTTAAGGCAGTCATCTCTCTATTTTCGGAACATTCATTGTACTTTCTCACTTCCGTTTCTGCATGCATGCCTGGAGTGTATCGCTCTTCCCAGTTCGACCTGTGTGAATCCTACCCATCTCCCAGGGACTTCTTCCAGAAACTTGCTGAAATGCTACTCCCCACATTGAACATCTACTCTGCCTAGCCATGTTTGATCTATCCCTGTTCTCTGCTCCCTCATTGTTTTTGCCTCTGTTACAACACTCACCTCATCTGCCTTGCATTTTTGTTACTTGTAAGAGTGTCTCTCTCCCCATTAGAATGTAAGCTCCTTGGGGCGAGACCTAACCTTCTTATCTTTGTATCCCACAGCACCTGGCATTATGCCTTACCTAGAGTAGGAGATCAATAAATATTTACTGAGATGAACTGGTGTGAAGTGTGTATGTGCTAAGAGGACAGTCATGAAGCTGACTGGATCACACAGCCTGAGGTGCATGGCCCCTGACAGTGTGTTGTATCAGGGTGGGAGACCAGCAACATACTGGTGTTGATCCAGGCGCTTCATCTGAGCTACAACCAATTTTGAATGATCTATGATATATGGACTCCTGGTGTGGTGCTTTGGAATAAGCACAGGACTGTGAACCACCAGGTTGGCAGTTCAAACCCACCAGCCGCTCCTTGGAAACACTACACAGAGTTGCTATGAGTCTAACAACAATAACATGAAATTTGGAGACAGGGAAGTACTAGAGTGATTGTTCTTAAACACTAGCCCATGGGTCCCCTATACCGGGATCCCCTGATTTGTTGTCGTTAGATGCCATCAAGTTAGTATCTACTCATACTGACTTTATGCACAACAGAACGAAACACTGCCCGATCCTGAGCCAACATCACTATTGTTGCCATGCTTGAGCCCATTGATGCTGCCACTTTGCCAATCCATCTTGCTGGGGGTCTCCATCTTTTTCTCTGACCCTCCATCTTACCAAACATGATATCCTTCTCCAGCGACTGGTTCCTCCTGACAATGAGTCTGAAGTATGAGAGGCGAAGTTTGGCCATCCTGGCCTCCAAGGAGCACTCCGGCTGCACTTCTTCCAACAGAAATCTATTGGTTCTTTTGGCAGCCCATGGCACTTTCAATATTCTCCTCCAACACCATAACTCAAAAGCATCAATTCTTCTGGAGTACCTGTTAAAATACAGATTCCTGGGCACTGCCAGGAATCTGCATTTAAAACAAATGCTCCAGGTGATGGTTGCAGGGCCAGGTTTGGAAGCTCTGCCCAGAGTAGAGAAATAGGATGATAAAGACTCCAGGAACTTCCTTTTATATATAAGTTTCCTATTTGGTCTAGCCAAGGTCATTGCTACAACCAATGAATAAAATTACTCATTTCATTAGTTTCTCAATAGGCATGGGAGTTTGGTTTCCAGACCTGGGAGGATGAGCAGCTATAAAACGTTGACATCCAGTGCCTTATTGGGGCAGTCAGTGATGGAGTTATTGAAGTTCCACTTGGAGCCTAACACTGGCTCAACTTCTTCCTCCACAATTCCATCAGTGGAGCCAGTGCAAATTCACTCAACTTCAAGCATTTGTCTGGGGGATTCAAACCTAGCAAGATTTAGTCATTGGCTTTTGTGACAGAGAAGAGTCGTTTACCATGTTGTGAATAGCACTGTCTGAGAACTCCATTGTGAACCTAGATATTTCTGTTCTATTCCAGTTTTTGGATTCAAATCTCTGGAAACATGCCACTCTGACTATATGGTGTCCCAGGAAGTCATATCACCCCACTGGGGATTGTCTGATGGGAGCTACAGGATACTAATTGATGTGTGCATGAGTGAGGTACAATGGACCCACATGACTGTTTTTTGAAAAGCTGTCTCCTCAGCAAGCCCTGGAGGCAGGCCTATTCCTGGGTTCCTTGGCCACTCTGCAAGGCCATTAGAGGCCATTAAGATATTAATGTATTAGCATCTCTGCAAGATGGTTTTTTGGCATGTTTTAAAAAGTGGCCATTTCTCATTCTATTAGCAGTTTAGGTTACTGCTGCCTCCAATTGCCCCAGCAGGTCGGACAAAGGGCTCTCTGTCATTCTTTGCCCAAGTTAGTAATGCACCAGATGCTTAGCAAGTACACAGAGGCCTGTGAACATCTATCTTTAGTCTCCCCCTTTCTACATCCTTGCCACTGTCCCCTGCTTTGAGCAGACAGAATACTTGGGTCAGGACACAGAGCAGAAAGAATCAAATAACTTGTGTTCGTCTTCCTTCTTTAAAAACAAACATCTTGTTAGTTGTTGGTAGTAATATACATAACCAAACATTCACAACTTCTACATGAAAAATTCAATAACATTGGTTACATCACGTTGTATCACCATTCTCACACTGTTGTTTCATCATACCGATATTGTTTTAGCATCAGTTAGACTCTCTGACGATTAAAGTTCTGGTCTGTACTTTACCTGTTGTCAGATTGTTATTGTTAAGTACTGTCAAATTGGTTCTAACTCACAATGACCCTGTATAGCATTTCCCAGGAGTGGCTGGTACGTTTGGACTAGTTTGTGGTTCAAACATCTTTGAGATGCACTTCTTATCCTACATTGCCACAAGCTCATATAAATCATTCTTATGAGAATGCTCAAGGCAGACATTTTTTCTTAATTGGGTTAAACTGTTGTTTAGTTTAATGCTAACTTCTTGGGGAAGTTTTAATTCAAGATTTAAGATTATTTCTGGGCATTAGCTTCAGAGGTTCCCCCAGTGTCATTGTACCCAGTAAGTCTGGTCTCCATACCAGTTTGAAGTTGTGTTTCACCCTTTTCCTTTTTTAAAAATCATGATACATCTATTGGGTCCTGGGCCCAAAAGGTTAATAATGGTATTCAAAGCAGCAGCCATTTCTTCTTGTGGTTTATGGAGGTAATTAAGCCTGCAACCCACTTCCTTCTTCCTCTTCTGTTCCAGATGAATAGCGAGCAATTGATAATAACTGGGGTGGTAACTCACAAGATTTTCTTTTTTTCTTTTTTTTTAATATGTGGTATTTATTTTGACCTTCTGTTGTAAATCAGGTAAAGATTTATAGAGCAGATGAATTTTCCATTGTTATGCCCAGATTTTGGGGTCCCCAAAGACCACCAAGGAGCCGACACCGATGCAAGTGCACAAGGGTTGTTAATTCAAGCTCGAGCTCAGACTCCATCTACATCCGACACAGTGGATTTAGGATGAAGCCCTGAGCTCTTAGTTTGCAGGGTTTTTATAGGGGTTACAAGCAGGCTCAGGGGTTTTCAGCTTAGTTACTCCAGGATTGGCTGATATTTAGCAAGGTATGAAATGTTACAATCTAATTGGTCATTACTGGTAGTCAAAGCTAAGGGCAAAGGAAAACATATGTATCATCAGGCCTTGAATTGTCTGCTGTGTTTATCTACTTCTTACTGCTTGCTGGGGGGGGGGGGGGCTATTCTCATGCAGCACAAGCTGACTTGGTGCATTCCTGGAGCAGGGGGACGTGCTCCGACCAAAGTACAAAATGGAGTCTTTTCTTTAGGTCTCACGCCATGCAGCAAGTTATACACATTTTGTTTCATCTCATTGACTACTCTCTGTGGTTCCTATTTTCTGTGGTTCCCTCTCTGTGGTTCCTATTTTCATTCTTCCTTCTTTCCTAATTCTTCCGAACTTTGCTCTTGGGTAAGTACTGCCCCTTTGATCTCAAATGGTTGATTGTTCTAAGGTGTGTGTATCTCACTAGTGTTACTGTTCCCTATATGGACCTGTGGATTGATTAACTGAACATTAAGTTGTGGGGGCAAGTTCAGTTCCAGATCTGAAGGGTGACTAAAGGCCAGAGGTTCAAGCTAGATTCAGATGAGGACATGGAACGAAGGATATCATTCCTGGTGTCAGATGGATCTTGGCTGTGCTTTACTGACTACAAAAAGGCTTTTGACTCTGTGGATCATGACAAGCTATGAACCACATTGCGGAGAATGAGTATTCTGGAACACTTAATTGTGCTCATGAGAAACCTGTATATAGAGCAAGAAGCAGTCATTTAAACAGAACAAAAGAACACTGAATGGTTTAAAATCAGGAAAGATGTGTGTCAGAGTTGTATTCGTTCACCATACATATTCAATCTGTATTCTGAGTAAATAATCCAATAAAGATTATTTACTCAGTAAATAAAGTAAATAATCCTATAAGAAGAATGTGGTATCTGGATTGGAGGTAGATCCA